GATTAAAAAAAAAAAAAAAAAAAAATCAAGCACGGCTTGAATCCTTTCTCCAAGCCCTTACCCAAAGTCAAACAGAGCCCATTTGTGTGTTTTGGCTTTGAATGCGAAAAGACAATGGCCACTGTTATCTCCTACTCAAATCTTGACACGTGAGAGCTCTTGACCATCATCTCCAGTCCGTTGAGAGGGCTCAATGGACTGGAGAGGACTCAAGAGAGGCTCAAGAGACTGGAGAGCCTCAGTGGCAGGCCAATGTGCCAGCCAGGGTCCGTGGCTTACAACGGGCAAGGCAAGAGCACAGCCTTGAGGGCTGCATAAATGTCATCTCAACATCTCTGGAAATTTGGCTGGAGCCCCAAAGCCTGTGGCTTGAGCCTGTGCCGAGAGGGGCCCAACCTGACACACACAGAGCATCTGAAGACCTTCAAGCTTCACAAAAGCTGAGATTAAATTTTTCAGCTGGGAATATGGGAGCTCACACCCAGCTCCACCAAGAAGCTGGTGGGTTTCTCAGCAGCTTCTGGCCACACACACAGAGTAAAAACATATAGTTAGTGCTAGAAGGTTTTGCTGGAAATCAAAAGGCTTGTCAGTTTGATCCATCCTCAATTAAACTAAGAATACGCTCAACAGACTGTTGCTTCAGGGTTGAAACCGCCGGGCTGCTTTGGATATGAGACACAGCTTTGAAGTTATATGAACAGCTTAATGTTTTTTTCTAAAATATTTTAATGCTGTGGCGATGCCAGCTGAGCACTTTCCTCCACAGCAGCTTGCAGAGCCCCACGTGTGCAGATGGCAGATTGCTTCAGAGGGGCCGCAGGAGCTCTTTCCACACCACATCCAAAGGAGACAGGATGATGCTTATAGCTAAGCCAGAGGATAGACTTAGGGAATGACATTTAGCTTCCCAAATGTGCAACTAACTCATCAAGTGACCCGGAGAGAGTCTCTTACCTGTTCCGAATCTATTTCCAGTCTTTAAAGTGGGAATAGGCCTACAGCTCAGTGTGGTGGTAGGGGACTAGGGTCTCCATTTACAAAGGTCCCCTTAGAAAGACCACAGTGTATAAGGTAAGCAGTCTTGTATTTGCCTGCAAGGTGGTTGTATGGACTTTCTCTTCAATTAGTTAACCAAAAGGCCAATGTAATCGGTGGATCGCAGTCTTTAAGCTTCATCCACACTTAGTGAAGAAACCAAAGCTACAACCACCTATGGAGTGGGCAGGACTGGATGTGTTTGATATGCAGACATCAAAATGATACATGCTAGCCACAATCCCGAGATCATACAGAGGTGTCCCTCTTCACTGAGGGTGTCAACTAGTGTTGAAGAGCTCAGCGTTGGCCTCACTTTGACTCCTTTTGAAGCCAATGGCTTTCAACGCTAACGTAGCTGGAGGAGAAATGGACCAAAGCTTATAATTTCTGATAACTCCACCCTGTTCTCCACCAGTGACTAACTGTCCCCAGTATCCACAGTTCATCCAGGATCATTAACGTTCCTGTTTATTTGTTACCTGCTGGGAGCTTTGGAGGATATTCTGGGTGCTGCAAGTTCCTTTCTTTTTCACAAGTAAAACCACATTGCTCCAGCTAAACAGTAAGGTTTCAAGTGACATGTAGTTGCTCAGAAATTAAATGTGACGTAACATAGGTCTCACCTGAACCCTGTGTAGCCAAAGAGGACAGCTTGCAAGAATCCACCCATCCCTGTCAAGAAGTTCACAGCTCCTGACCCATCCGAGTTCTCCACCCAGATCTGCTCCAGCAAGAGAAAGAAATGACTCAACAGTTGCATTAGGACTCTTCATACAGTTTTGTGTGTTTGAATACACTTATCATCGTCACTGTCACATATCGGGGGTCTTGCAATGACCATGCTCTGCTGGGCATATCTGACCGTCCTGGTATGAGGTGGTGGATGGGCTGTGATGCATCTCTAAACAACACCATCTCCGTTCCCTTTCCCATCCCCAGCAAGCAGAAGGAAGCCAGCGGTGACCATGATACTGACCCGTGGCTTTGTATTGCCTGGTAGGAAGCAGCTGCCTCCTTACTGCTCTTCGGAAGCAGGCAGAGTGCACAACCACCTAGCTGAATATAACAATAACCTAGTGACCACAAGTGCAGTCAGCACAGGCTGAGGTCTAAGTGATGTCTCTCAGTGTGATGTGACCTACTTGGGAACAGGCAAGATAGAAACAAGAGGTATTTGTCACGGGGAAGCACCCACGACACGCCACACAGCTAACCTTGAAGGGTTCTGTGATGTTGCTGAAACACTTCTTCAGTTGGCTCTGGGCTCTCTGCACCTCCTTTAGCTCCAGCCAGCCCACTGCAAACATGCTCTGCAGGAGAGAAAAATGGCCTTTCACCGGCTGCTGTCTCCAGCAAAAGCTTCAGAGTGACGCCACGGCTGGCATCCCTCTGACCCAGAGTAGGCATCTTCAGCGCACATCTCTAGCTCTGCACTGTCCACGTTCCCTTAGAGTTTAAAGCAGGTCTGACAAATCGTGCCTGCTGATGGGGCTGGCAGTGAATAACTCCGATGGAAACAACCACCTCGTGGACGAATCCCAGCTTAGGCTTTGCCCCTCTCCTTACCCAGGTCATGGCTGGCCCATCCCTCTCAGTGACGGGTTCGTACATCTCCAGGTCATTTCTCCGGACTTCAGAGCTCATGGGGTGCATCAGCGGGAATCCAAGCAAGACAACGTCAGCTTGTTTCACAGGCTCACCTGGGGAAAGGAGTCGGTCAGACCACGTATGCCAGCTGGGAATAACTGGCAGACTGATTGTCGACTTACTCATATGGGGAACAAACCTGACTCACACAGAATCATAAACTTAGAACAAACGCCACATCAACAGGGGGAAGGTAGTGGAACTGCAGGGAGGACAACTCATTGCTGCCTTGCTAAAGGCAGACCAGAACTGCAGTTTATGGTTTGACCTTGGTGCTGTGTTTGCTAGAAGCTGTGTCGAGGCAGGACACTGGCACATCACTAACATGATGGCACCCAGACTGGTGTCACCTAAACCTCAGGTGCAAAGGAATAGCTCCCACGATCCTGTGCAGCTAGGTTACCCTGCCTCTAACCGTGAGAAACTAGGCATGCATTTCCACTGGAAGCAGCCCCTTCACTTCCAGAGGGCCAGGGGTTGCTGGAAGGGCAAACACATGGCACTTGACCTTGGAAAGATAGACCCAACTGTCAGCAATGAGTTCATAGCACCCACATCATCTGCAGCCCAGTACTAAAAGTCTCTTCCTACTCTCTGTGTTCCCAAATTTCCTAATTTTATGAGAAACAATCTGCCAAGAGGCAGAGAAAACATCTACAAGCCAGGCTCTCCACACCGGCAACCCAAATGCTGCACTTGGAGAGCAATGCTAGAGATTTCTACTTCGGCCAACCATTCAGCCGCTGTTCCTGCGTTTGAACCAGTCAGAGTCCCCACTTCTTGCAGGCTTACAAAGAGCGAGCAGTGGCCAACTCGAAGGTCGGCTGCTGCCTCTCTGCTTACCTGGGCTGTAACCATCGTACTCGGGGTGATATTTTTTCTCCGCATCAAAGGGCACTTTGACTTTCTTTGCACAGTCCACCCACTCCTCTGGCACAGGGATCAAGAAGTCCCGAGCAACATCAGCTGCAAAATTTAAGCTGAAAAGATGCTTTATGTCAGGCATGGGTGCCTGTGACCCCCTCAGAGAAGGGAAGAGAAGAAAGGGATCAGAAAGAACTAATTGATCTGTAACTGCAAAGAAACAGCTACTCTGAAAGAACATGGGTCAAAGTTTAAGCTTGGGGTAGCAGCTTTCATCGCTGAAGTTGGGAGTCCGTTCCACTAGCTTTAGATGTCTCCAGCTGGCTAATTGTATAGACATCTCATAAAACACAGGGAAAGAAACCCTTCTGTGAAGTGAAATCCCTCTCAGTCTCATGTGGACACCTGAAACAGGTCAGATGAACCGCCACGGGACCACCTACTTCTTTCCGCTGACTGTAAAGGCAGGCAAAGGAGACCAGCTCAGATAGAGGTATGTGAAGAGAGGAAAGGTGTATCCCACGCGGGAGCCCTGCTGCCTCCTCCCCCTGCCAGACTGCTAGGCAGAAGAGAGACGGGCCAGTGCTTCAACAAGGCATGCACGTTACCTCCGCTGGGCCACGGCGTTGGTGTAAACAGAGTTATCAACCCGGTAATGATACTCATCTGGGGGCATGACACCTGGAGGAAGAGGAAGGGGACACTTCGCACCGCAGCACACCAGAGGTTTGTCACGGCTTTGTGCCCCTCCTCAGGGACGCGGCACAAGAAAGGGAACCCCTCCCGTTGCAGTGATGCCTGCCCACGTGGCGAGGTGTTGCCTCTCTGCTTCTGGCAGGATCCCACAGAGATCTCAGTGCAACGCTCAACAGAGGAGAGCATAAGTGGCGCTTGCCGTGAAGGAGAAACGACCTGGCTTACGGCTTTGACTGATGGGCAGCAGATGCCCTCAGCTTGAGGGCATCTCCCTCACTCCACAGGCAAGGTGACCTTCAAGTCATTAACTCTTTCCAGTCGTTCAATCAAGTTGATCAAGTCATTAAATCTTTCCCTAGCTACAAGCTCAGCTCCTTCCTTTGCTGCTTTCGTGCAGATTGTCCCCAGGAGGAGAGACAGCCAATTCCCAAGAGAAACGTGAAAATAGACATTTAAATATGTGACCCCTTTGGGAGCACTGGGGCTGTCTCCAAGGATCTTTGCACCAAGAACCAGCCTGCAGCAACCCCAAGGGCTCTTCTAGCTCTGATCACCCCAGTTTCATCGAGGCACTTTCGCTCTAACCCAGCCTTCTCCTCCAGACCCTCCTCGCACAAACACCTCTCCTTCACTTCTCATTTTCTTCCTCAGTGTTCCCTTTCAGAAGCAGCCCATCAGTGGTAACTTGCACTCGTTAACATAACGTGCTTTAGCAGGATTGCTGCCTGCAGAGAGACCCTTTGCCCTGCCAGACACATCAGCAGTTGTACTTGTTTGGCACCAACAGCACCAGATGTCCTTCAAGGGATTAAACTCCTGCAGGGTCCTGGGGGATTTAAACTCAGGTCTCTTAGAGAGGAAGGACTTTTCTAAGTCTTTTCTAAAGCCCTTGCACTCTGTTTTCTCTAAGTGCCACCAGTGACAACAGCATATCTGGAGGCACCCATGCTTGTGGCATCAGCTTGTACCACCATGGAAGGAGACATTTAGAGGTGTCCTATGAGTGTCAAGGGGCTGAGAGAAAAAACAACTGATACCGTGGCATTGGAAGAGAGCTGAGCATCTTGTCCCATGTTCGCACGGACACAAACATTATCTGTGAGATATTCCAGAGGGCAGGAGTCTGAAGAGCTCGTGCGCTCCCATCCAGGTCTGGCTGGAGGGGCTCCAAGCCTCTCCTTGCAAACCCCTTCCCTACAAACAGGTCTGGCAGTTGCAGAAGTACCTTTGATGTGGTAGCATTGCTCCTCCTCGCTCCACACCATCCTGCTGCACCAGTACTGAGCCACTGCACCCACCAGTTTCCAGCCTCCATCCTCCCTGAACAGCTTCTGGTCCTGGAGGGAGCCAAAGCCAGAGAAAAACAGGGACACGAAGGAGACTCAACCAGACCCAAACTCAGCAGGAGGACAGGAACTCTAAGGAGATGGACGTAGCAGGAGAAAAGGTCAGAAAACTGGCCTGGATTGAGCCAACAGGATGCTGAGCTGCCCATGAGGAGCAAGGACAGAGGAGGCAGGGCTGAAGAAGGGACCCCAGGGTGCTACTGGCAATTCTGACAGGAGCAGACAACAGCAGGGTTTCTCTGGGAAGGGACAGTGACAGTCACCAGATGCCCTGCAGGCCTTGCCACCGGGCCACCCAGGTGGCACACACTCCCTTTACCTGCGTGGTGCAATAATACTGCTCAAAGGCCATCAGAACGTCCCCAGTGACATGGATTTCTTGGGCTCCGTAGATCTCCTCAGGGCAGACTTCCCGGCCAGTGGCTGCACTCTCCCACGGGAACTTAGCACCCTGCCAGGAGAAGACACCCATGAGGCAGCTGAGCACAACATCCCGAGATGCTCTCCCCAGTCCACCACCTGCGGGCAATGCCCTGCTCACAGCCCCTGGCTAAAACTAGACCCAGAGAGGAAGAGCAAAAGCCCAACTGTCCCCCTGGGCGACAGTGGCTGGGTTGCACTGCCCTCAGCCCAACATCTCTGTCCCCACCTTGTAGCCTTGCTCCTGCGCGTTGCGTAAGGCTCCTTCCAGCATGCGAATCCGGTACTCCAGGATGGCTCGGGCAGCTTCAGGATAAAATAGCAGAATGTTCGGGAACATCCAGGTGTCCTGGAAACATCCAAGCAAGGCAAGATGGTGGGATTGGCTGGTGGGGCACCCAGATGCTCCCACCAGTTTCACCCTTCAAGTCCGCCCCCATCCCAAATGCTCTGACCATGATTTTGCGACTACTTAAAGGTGCTGTCCCGTGGGCTCATTAAAAGCGATAAATCCACAAGGGACTGTTTCTGCCCGTGCCTGCTACTCTCTGGTATCTCACTAGGATGATCTCAGCAGGACCTCCCATCATGCAAGAGAAGGGAGGCAGGAGTTCTCCAAAGCCGAAGGCTCTGGAGAGGGTCAAAACCACATGCATCACCAGGAAGAAAGCACACAAGGTCCACAGGACCGAAAAGCCCTTGCCCACTGGAAGACCAGGCTGGGTTTAGCACAAGAGCCTCAACACCATCCAGCAGTGTCTCCTGCTCACACCATACAATGGTTATTCAGCTGCAGAGCTGTGCACCCATTCGGCATGGCTGCTCCGAGAGCAGATCTAACCCTCTGGCTGGGGCAAAGCCACCCAGCCCAGCCAGCTTATTGAGTACACACCAAACCTATGTTTAAAAGCTGAACGTGCCCATCACGGAAAACACTTCTGTTTTTTCAGTGGTTCAGACACAATAGGGCTGGGAGGAGAAGGGCAGGTTTCAACTTGCTTCGTTTTAAACAACTAAAAGCCGGTGGCCATGCTCTAAGCTAGTCACTGAAGCTCCCTTGGGTGAGCAACCTGAACTATCTTAGCCCCAGACCTCAGCTTGAGGAAGGGGGCTGCCCTGCAGTGGGGTCTCTCCCGGCCTCTCGCCCCCACTGGCTACGCAGCAGCCCCAGGCATCTAGCTTCGATTTAGGCAATTTGCTTCCGAGTTAGAGGATAACCCAGACGAGTAATTCCAGGGATCGAGCTGGGTCTGAGTAGCTGTTACAAAAGGAGCAAGAGGATGGTCTCCAACAAAAAGCTGGTGCCAAGGTACCCATACTTGGGGGTAAGGAGGAGGCCTTCCAGCATCCTCCTGCTGAGACTTCTCCATCCCAGTCGCTGTGCAAAGCCCCCAGGTTACCAGCTAGCACGGCCTCCACCCACCTGGTCCCAGAAGATGTGCCCCCAGTAGTCCTCGCCCTGAGTGCCGTTGGACAAGCCGCCAGGGCTGATGCCGTGGAAGAGAAAGCCCAGGTTCCCCCGGGGCGGGATGGCGCTCAGCAGGTAGTAGAGACACCCGTAGAGGGCCTGCCTCAAAGGCAGAGGTCCATCCAGGTCTATGCAGCAGCCTCGCCACAGCATGGTCCATGCGTGGGCATGGGAGGAGTGCAGGGAACCAACAGCAATGAGGGCCAGCCCTTTGCTGTAGCTCCTCTTCACCTCCTCTTCACTCTCGGCCACGGCCGTCAGGAACTCCCAGGATCGCTCCCGCTCCTCCCCACGCAACGTCAAGTCTTGCGGCACGGGAGTCCAGAGCATGTGAACTGTGGGACGGGGTCCCCCCTCCACCTCGGGAACCAGCGTCTTCCCGTAGACGTAGCTGCGGGAGACAGCAAGCAACAGGGCAAGGGAGAGTGGAGCAGGTGGGACTCCGTGCACGTCCACCCACACGGAAGGGACCTCCCCCCAGCAGCTGAGTATCAGGCTCCCGTTCCCACCTAGGATGGAAGCTCCCTTGTCCCCACGCTTCAGCTCAGCTGCCGTCCCACCCCCAAAGCGCAGGAGACTGAAATTCATTACAACCGGTCCCCAATCCCAGCAAGCCATTTTTAGAGGTCATCTCCTCCAAACTCACTATCTTCCCCAAACTCATTTCTTTGTAATCACGTCTAGTCCCTGGGGCCTTCGTTGCTTTTTTACATGTCACTGTAAGTAATAATTCTGGAGTTGCAACTAATAAAAGTGTTTCTATACTTAATTTTGGTGAGGTTTTTTTTTTAACATACCTGCCAGGAAGAAGCAGATTTGCACAAGCCTCCACGCTACTTACCATTTCAGTCTAGCTCTAGCCTTACTTTTGCAATTCATTTCCTAATGGTGAGCAGGGCAGCGTGCAACAGCCCATGAAGGACATATTCAGGGCAAGATCCCCCTGTGATCCAAACTCACTGCGCTCCCTGGAAGTCTGGTCCTTGGTTCAGGTCCAAGTCCCGGCTCTTTGGCACAAAAGGAGTCTGGAGCTGGACCGTGATGGGTTGGGTGGTGTGAGCTGATCGTTGGACGGTGATGCTGAAGGCCATCAAGTGGACAAGGGAATGGTGAGCGTAGATCTGATGGGTGGCTGTATAATCAGTTGACTGAAGCACATGGCTGAAGGTTCCTGTAAGCACAATGAGAGCCATCAGTCTTTTGAACCATCAGGTCCTGATGTTCTGCCCCAGACTCCCATTTCTGCCCTATCCACTGGTTCCTACTAGCAAAGGAACCTGTTTCCCAGGTCCAGATACAAACACAGCTTTTGACTGAACAACACTGTTAACGCGCTGAATCTGGCCAAGCCACTGAGGAATGATTTGTGCTATAAAACGTTTTACCACGCTCCATGATTAAACAGCATTTGCCGAGCCTGGCTCCAGCAGGGATTGAGATACAGTCTGAAAAATCGCTCTTATTCTCACAAGAAAGGGGAATTTTCCACTTGCTCCAACACAACTCGGAAGAACAACACCCCGCAGGTGAACGGAGAATGGGGAGAAGAAAGATGCGACCTCGTGGAAGAGGCAACACAGGCAAAGAGACTTTTAACTTCTAGAAGAGGGTCACCAGCAGTTAGAGAGAAAGAGCGATGGGTGCCCGAGTTGGAGATCTGAAAGGAGGCAGAAGGACAGGGAGATTCCTGCCCGTGGTCTGCTGTTTACCCGTCCGGGTGTTCAAGGTGAAGGTCTCAGCCAGGCTGTCCGCGCCAGGCACCGTCATTCTAACATTGACAGGGCTGGGGATGTCGGCACGGTGCGTGTCTCCCACCGCCCCGTTGTACACACCGTTGACGTGGAGGATGTCCCGGTACACACGGGTGCCCAGGTAAGCGTTAGTCACCGTAGCCAGCAGCCGTGGGTCTGAGGGCAGAGAAGCGGAGGTGAACACGGCGGGGTCGTCTTTGCCATCAGCCATTTTTACCAGCCTGAGCTGCAGAACGACAACGACAGAGTCAGGTACGAGGGTTGCACGGACGAAGTGAGGGCAGGCCGAGTGTGGCCGTGCTGGACTCCAGCCAAACGCGGGAGCTGCAAGCTGCTTCCCTCTGTAACCTCCCTGTAACACGCCGGTCATCGGCAAAGCTGGCTGCTCGCTTGCCTCCAGCCTCGTTACATTCCTAGGGTCTCCCTCTCTTTTAGTCTCCTTTCTGATCACCACCGCCGCCTCTACCAGCGTTTCTCCTCCATCCCAGCTTTCCTCCCAGCGCCTGGGGTGGGCATCCTCCCCCCGGGCTCATTTCCTCCTTTGCCGCTTCCTTTGCTCCCTCCTCGCTCCGGCCGTCTCCCAGCCAAGCAAGGCGGCTCCTCCAGCCCGCCCAAACCTCACCAACTCATTGGCTTGGCCACTTCCCCAATCTCCCCCCCCCTTCCTCTTCTGCTGCCCGCTCTGCGGCAGGATGCCACCAGTTTCTCCCAGTACAACACAGCTACCTTCCTCTTCTTTCCTCCTCTTCCTCCCAGCTGTGTATTCCGTGACAATATTCAATACTCTTCTGTGGCCTCAGCAGCTCCCCATCTCCCAACCCGCTGTACCCCTGTGCTCCCCCTCACTCTTGCATCTCTAGTTCAGCTTCAGTTACTGGCTTGCTGGGGTAGGAGCTTTTTATTTCATTGATATATAAAAATATATAAAAGATATATTTATATATAATATATAAACTTATACATAAATATATATTAAAGATATAGACACATATAAACAGCACCTTACAAAAGGGAGCTGTAGGTGGTGCCTGGCAATGCTAAGCATTAGAATAATATAGAAACAATAAAGTAAGGCACTGAGAGACTCTCCAAGCGGAGCTGGAAAGCCAGCCGGAGCAGTACAAGAGCAGCAAGAGCTCGCCCCAGCCAGGCTGGCAGTCCCCAAAATCCCTCCCCGATAGCAGCTGGCTGCTGGCAGCTCTCAGGGACAGCTTGGTTTCCTCACGCCAGGCGGTGCCCGAGATTGAATTGTGAGAAAAATCCTCCTCCTGCCTTCAGGAAAGTTAAAAAAAAAAACAAACCACAAAACAAAACCAAAAGGGGGGTGCAGAAAGTGAGGAGGTTAGATCTTGCCTTTGGTCTGGGGCTGAGCGTGAACTCTGGCTGTGCAGGCAGAGGCTGCTGCCGTGGGGCTCCCGCACGGGGGGAAGGACGGAAGTTACCCAACTGAGACAGAAGGAAGGAGGTAACTTTTTTCCCCATCCTTTAAAAAAAAAAAAAAAAAAAAAAAAAAAAGATCTTGACATGCAGGTGTTTGCCCAGATGAGCTCATTGCCCACAGCAGGGAGCACAGAGGTTCCAGCACTGCCTGGCACTCCGGGGAAGAACGAACTGAGAGAGAAAAACCAGTCTCCGATGATTTATCATCTAAAAGCTGCCTGAGAAATGTGGCAATGGCCCCGGTAGAGAGCTGTGGCTGCTCTCCAGCCAGAGCGCGGGGAGAGCAGCACACACACCTCCGCAGCAGGAACTACGTGCAATAACCACCTTTGTCCCCAGCCACGCGCTAACCCATTTCCTCACTTGCTTTCGGAGCGAACGGATCCGGATTTCAGCTTTGGCACGCTTTTCCCGGCTTCCTTCCCGTGACCCCTCTGCCCCCACCGCAGCAGGCTTTTCCAGGCGCAGCACCGGTGCCAGTGAGCACCCGCCCCGGCTTCCCGCACCGCGGAGGCACTGCTGGCATCCAGCCCCACTTCTCCCAGCCCCTAACATCTCCTATCGCTGCTAAAGCCCAGTTACAGACGGAGCAGCATTTTACCAAGCTGTCCCCAAAGAGAGCCAGGTCACCTGCTGTTACACAAGGAAATGCCCGTCCTTCCCCGGGCTGAGCTCCACCACGCACCAGGGCCACACCGTCTTGGACGCAGCACCTGTCCCCAGCAGGCTCTTTGCCCTGGCACGACTGTGCCCTGGCTCTTGCCTTGCTGCACTGTGGTTCTCCGAAGAGATCCATGACCGAGTTTGACCGGTGTGAGTCCTCGAGAGATCCGGCAGTCACAGTGCCGCACACATGTCCTCTGACCGTGGCGAAGGCTCAAGCTACCCGTTTCCCTGCAGACCTTTTTGGGAGCTGGCGAAGCTCCTGCTGCCTTGTGTCGCAGGCAAGCCAAAAAGCAGATCCCATAACTGTTGAATGCAATGGCCAAAATTCACCCCACGTCATGCCCTTCAGCAAAGGGGGTGACAGCCTCTCCCTAGACACTTTCACTCCCCATCAAACACGGCGAGTGTAGGACAGCACAGAAGTATTGCGTTACAAACCCAAGCTGGGGGGGGGGGGGGGGGGGGGGGGGGGGGACA